TGTTCTCTACAGCCATCTGCCAACATTTTGTTTGAAATGTGACGTCTTTTTACCTTGTATTGATTGAGTTTTTAGACATTGTGAAAAATAAAAATGCATAACATTCAATATTCTGAATAGCTATTTTTCTTGAACTTCTCAGATCGACACCCACTAGATATGACTTTATTAATTTCTAAAATTATTTAGAAGCTGTAGATAATCAACCCTCTGTGGTTAACTTTATTGCTCCGTCAGTGTCTGTGTGTCTAAACCTTCTGCATTTTTAATGCTTAAAATTGAACACGAGCAAGCATTTAACTACAAGACATGTTTACTTCACCATAATTGCGTATATACTTGAATTTTTTTTTATCTCTCACCATCTCTGCTATATTTTTTTTCTAAGGTCAACTTACAAGAGTTCTGTAGAAGTTATTGTGATCTTGATCTGATAAGCAACTAAATCTGTAATTATATATTTAGACCCCCTCATCTCTATTGGGTGTTGTAATGCAGAACTCTGAACGAGACTGAAAGCAAACCAATATATGAACTTATATCAGTGGAGCACAGTGGGTGATCAACATTTTTCCCAAAGTTATATTTATTAAAAATTCACTAGTTTGAATGTAATAAATACAGGAAGGCGGGTCTCAGAACTGACAATTCAGTAAAGTTAATAGTTTCTACCTTTTTTTTTTTTTTTTTTTTTTTTAAGTAGTGATGGGTGTTAAGTATTGGGAAAAAAGTATATTTCTCCATTCTCACCAAAAATAAAGATACACATATTTTTAAATTTAAACTCAAACTTTCTAACATCTAATTTTATGGATATTTAGCTAATTATAAATCACTCACTTTTGTTTTTTTTTTTTTACAAACTTCACCCTTTTTTTTTACATTGTACATGACATACCAGCATATGATGGATACATGTCTGCAGGATTGTCTTCTTATAGCTAAGACAGATTTTTGTGGCTCCTTCAGAGTGATCCCAGAGGAGGAAATGCTCTCCTCTCTTAGCCTGTTGCTTATATTTTTCCTACCACTCCCATGAGTATTTCTTAATGGCAAAAAGAAAGCCAAAAAAGTTTGTTTGCCAACAGCTAAGTTAAAATGCAAGAAAAAGTCCACTGGCATGATAAGATAACTTTACTATACACAAAGCTATAAATCAGAGGAACCAAGACTGGAAATAACCCTGAATACTATATTTCCTCATAAGCAACAGGGAACCTGCTCAGTTGACAGAAAAATGGACAAAGTTAAAAACAGTCCTGAAGAAAATCTGCAGATTTCCTGAAGAGCTCCTCTAAATATACAGCTGACTGGAATGGCTCAGATGAAAACGTTTACAGGTCTTAGAATATTCCACAATCTATTATTATTATTTTTTTAATCAAATGCAAAATCTTGTACCTTTTTCCTTACACTTAATTATAATTTATTCATTAAATTTTTTTTTTGGTTTATCCCATATAAGGTAAATTCTCTGAAGAGCAGGATTTCCAAGGTTGGAGTCAGGACCCACGATGGGGTGATAAAGATGGTAAAATTCTCAACGTAAACCATATTTATGTGTGTTTTTAATATAAAAAACAATTCAGAAATAGACAAATCCTACTAAACTAGCTGTTTTTTATACTATTACACCCATGGTTTATCAGAATCAGGTTTATTGCCAAGTAGGTTTGCACTTACAAGGAATTTGACTTGGTTTTGATGATGCAGAAAAAATATATATACATAGCTCTATATGATATAAAACATACAATATATTCTATGCAATATACTGTACAGTACATAGCTGTATACTATATACACAGTATTCTGCGTTAATGTAATGCAGAGGGTCTGGAGATGGTACGTTGGTGTGGCTTCTAGGTCCTGAACGGGGGAGAGGCAGTGTCATTGTCATGGGGGCCTTGTTGATAAGGCTGGTAGGGGTTGGGAAGAGAGAGACTGTTCTTGTTGCGTGAGGTTTTGGTCCTGATGGACCACAGCCTCCTGCCAGAGGGAAGTGTCTGAAATAGTTTGTGGCTGAGGTCCCAGGGATCAGCCACAATCTTCCCTGCATGCCTCAGAGTCCTGGAGGCGTACAGACCCTGGAGAGATGGAAGATGGCAGCCAATCACCTTTTCTGCAGACCGGATGACACGCTGCAGTCTGCCCTTGGCGGTGGCACCAGCGTACCAGAGGATGATGGAGGAGGTTAGGATAGCCGTAATGATAGAGGAGTAGAATGCTTGGTTGATTTTGTATACATTTTTGTAAACTCCACCAGTATCATGCATAATGAGTCCAATCTGGTGCTGTTCTGTGGGTCAGAAGCTGCAATGTTTCTAAATTAAAAATAAAGTTGTGCTGTTTATGGAACAGTAGGTGAAAAAAAAAACAAACTTCAATGGGTGTGAATACTTTTGATAAGGACTGTGTCTCAGACATTTCTAGTTCTTCTAAATAAATAAACGTGTGTTCTAAAAAAAAAAAAAAAAGTTAACTGGTTCCCAAACGCTGACTGCGGTTTGCAGTGCAGCTCTAGACCAAATGTTCCAGGGGGGCAGGGTGGAGCCACCGTGTTTTCATGGGGGCACCAAAAAGCATGAAGTACAAGTGCTGGTCATAAAATTAGAATATCATGAAAAAGTAGATTGATTTCAGTAATTCCATTTAAAAAGTGAAACTTGTATATTATATTCATACATTACATACAAACTCATATATTTCAGATGTTTATTTTGTTTAATTTTGATGATTACAAATGACAACAAATGAAAATCTCAAATTCATCATATCAGAAAATTAGAATATTGTGAAAAGGTTCAAAATTGATGGCCCCTGGTGCCACACTCTAATCAGCTAATTAACTCAAACCACCTGCAAAAGCCTTTAAATGGTCTTTCAGTCTAGTTCTATAGGCTACACAATCATGGGGAAGACTGCTGACTTGACAGTTGTCCAAAAGACGACCATCGACACCTTGCACAAGGAGGGCAAGACACAAAAGGTCATCGCTAAAGAGGCTGGCTGTTCACAGAGCTCAGTGTCCAAGCACATTAATAGAGAGGCGAAGGGAAGGAAAAGATGTGGTCGAAAAAAGTGTACAAGCAAGAGAGATAACCGCACCCTGGAGAGGATTGTGAAACAAAACCCCTTCAAAAATGTGGGGGAGATTCACAAAGAGTGGACTGCAGCTGGAGTGAGTGCTTCAAGAACCACCACACACAGACGTATGAAAGACATGGGTTTCTGCTGTCGCATTCCTTGTGTCAAGCCACTCTTGAACCACAGACAGCGTCAGAAGCGTCTTGCCTGGGCTAAAGAGAAACAGGACTGGACTGCTGGTGAGTGGTCCAAAGTCATGTTCTCTGATGAAAGTAAATTTTGCATTTCCTTTGGAAATCAAAGTCCCAGAGTCTGGAGGAAAAGAAGAGAGGCACTTCATCCACGTTGCTTGAAGTCCAGTGTAAAGTTTCCACAGTCAGTGATGGTTTGGGGTGCCATGTCATCTGCTGGTGTTGGTCCATTGTGTTTTCTGAGGTCCAGGGTCAACGCAGCCACATACCAGGAAGTTTTAGAGCACTTCATGCTTCCTGCAGCTGACCAACTTTTTGGAGATGCAGATTTCATTTTCCAACAGGACTTGGCACCTGCACACAGTGCCAAAGCTACCAGTACCTGGTTGAAGGACCATGGTATCCCTGTTCTTAATTGGCCAGCAAACTCTCCTGACCTTAACCCCATAGAAAATCTATGGGGTATTGTGAAGAAGAAGATGCAATACACCAGACCCAACAATTCAGAAGAGCTAAAAGCCACTATTAGAGCAACCTGGGCTATCATAACACCTGAGCAGCGCCACAGACTGATCGACTCCATGCCACGCCGCATTGCTGCAGTAATACAGGCCAAAGGAGGCCCAACTAAATACTGAGTGCTGTACATGCTCATACTTTTCATGTTCATACTTTTCAGTTGGCCAACATTTCTATAAATCCTTTGTTTTTATTGGTCTTCAGTAATATTCTAATTTTCTGATATGATGAATTTGAGATTTTCATTTGTTGTCATTTGTAATCATCAAAATTAAACAAAATAAACATCTGAAATATATGAGTTTGTATGTAATGTATGAATATAATATACAAGTTTCACTTTTTAAATGGAATTACTGAAATCAATCTACTTTTTCATGATATTCTAATTTTATGACCAGCACCTGTACATAAACCAGGGCAAGGATTCAAATATATCAAGAGAGCTGCATGAAGTTAAATTTCCATTCAATTAGGTTTAATTAAAATTCAAACTTCCAACTGAAAATATTTATTTGTGGCTTAAAAATTTTAATTATCCTTAAAATAAAAATCCCTTAGCATAGCAAAAAACCAACTCAAAAAATTGTAGCTATATAAATATCTAAAAGATCAAATAAAGCTATTATTTGGAATATTAGATCAATATACATTCATAATTTAGGAATTTTACATATTCTTAACTTGATTTAAGTTAAAATTACAGTTTTCTATAAAATCAGAATTAGAACTCAAGAAAAACTGATAAATTCAGCTGTATTTTTTTTTGTTTTGAAAAAAAAAAAACATTTAGCGGGTGAAAACTGGGATCCTATCTCAATACCAATGACGCTATCGACATATTGTTTTTTAAGTAATTAGTAAAACAGAATATTTTAAACAAAAAAATAAAAAACAAAAATGAAAAAGGTCCAAAGGACTTATGAGAAACCATGTCTGTTCCAGGCCAGCACATATCATCATTAGAATTTCTTTTAGTATTATGTCTTCAGTACAGGGGCCATAACAGGGGCCAGGACATGAGCTACAGTGCGACTGGCCCCCGTTGGCCCCTGTCTAGAACCGCCCCTTGCGGGTTGTATGACTAACCTTGTGAATGTAAGAGCAAGTCCTTAGGGAATAACTTCACTACTTCTGTTTTCTCAAGATGTTTCTTAGAAAGGGTGTTCCCTGTGCAGACCGCCATATCTCAAAGCTGCCGCTAGGTGTCGCACTTCAAGACAGGCGGTGAAGAGTTTGCGTCTGACAGCATCAAGACACCAGAGCATGCTCCAAGTTTTTTATTCCCGCCGTCTAAAAATGACAGCAGACTCGCCGGTAGCTTAGGGGTTTCCTTTCCTTCCGTGAGGGCAGAGAGTTTAACTTTGGATGCCAGCTGGAGCGCTTGAAGCCTGTGAGCAGGAATCAGAGAAGGTGGAGAACCGCCGATGGCTTCAGACCAGGAAAGGATCAGAGAGCGCATTAAAGCGCTCCTCAAGAAACCTGGTAATGGAAACTGTGCCGACTGCGGGGTTCCAGGTGATTTTGGAGTCACTCTTTAAAATCGATTGCTGGTATGATTTATTGCACAGGGGATTTTTTTCTTGAGTATATTTCGAAACTTTACCGGCGCGCCCCTTTTTTTGAGATGCTCTGACTCAAATCTTTCAGTGTCATCGTTTTTAGGCTGTTTTCCCCAGAAACAAAGGAAAGTTTACTTGCTGATTAGAACACCATACAACAAAAAGTAGTAGATTTAGATTGTAAATGGATATTTGACCTAAACTCTACTAACTATTTCCAAACGTTTGTTTTGGTGATATTGCATGCATTAATATCGACATTCCCTTAGCAAAAAGTAGTTTATTCAAGTATACTAAAAGTGCACTAATTTCATACTTAAAATCAGGCAGTGCACTTAGAGTTTACTTATTTTAAACTATATTTCATATACTTAACAATAGTATAGTCACGTGTACTTTTGTTTACTTTATTGTTTACTAACTTAAATATGTCCTCAGTTGGAAGAAGAATTACTTTAGTAATACTTCAAGTACACTAAAAGTACATTGTTCGGTATACTTTCTAAACTTATACTTAAGTATTCTTAATAGAATTTACTTCGAGTATACTACTTTTTCCTAAGGGTTATTATTGATTTACTATCGTTTTCTTGCTCAAATTTCTTCGTCTAGGACATAAGAGTCCCAAACAAGCCCAGCTTAGAAATGTGCTGGATCTGCTGCAAAATATTCCCAAAGATATATAGTAATTAGAGTTTTATTATAAGAATTCTGCTTTTGTTTTCTGAACATTTCCCTCCTATAGTAAAATAATGCAACCGTTTTTGGCATTAACTTAAACATATTTTGTTACTTTAACACAATTGTTTCACGTTAGCAGGGTAGGATATAAAACAATTGTGTTAAAGTGACTAAATATGATTGAGTAAATTATTTTTTTCAGTATAGAGTCAAACATTAAAGTTGTGAATTGAGATAAGTCTCCTCTATTGCTCAATGGAGTTTGACCTACAAGTTTCACAAAAGTAAGTACATTCTTCTCATTTATATTTTATTATGTATTTTTCAAGATATTAATGAAAATATTATACTTAAAAAATAATATAATATTGTTAGCTTGTCTAACAGCATGAATTTGCTATACCCTCAAAATAAGCATCCGTGTCTAAACCACTGGTGGAAAAGTTCACACCCCCACGAGTGAAATGTACAAATTTGCTCAAAGTTTTCAGAACTGCATTTCCTCTCATGGGAATAAAGTTCACTATAGCTCTACAGGTTCCAACTAGAATCTTCTTGCAATCCTCCATGACTAGAGCACAGATCTTTTACTCCTTCGGCATCCATTTAAGGAGTTCGCAGAGTTCTCAGTAATTTTCAGGTCTGGAGATTGGACAGTCCAGCACTTCTACCCATATATGTATGTTTGGGGTCTTATTTACGCTGGAATCCTGCCCTTATCTCTTCAACCTTTGCAGAAATACTGGCAGCACTCACGCATCTGTTAAAAAAAAGCAAAAACCCTCTGGACGTGATGGTTATCACATGCACTCTACCTCTTTGGTTGACCATAGCGAGGTCGGTTCTGTATAGAAGCTGTCCTATCAAACCCGCTGTAGGAGCTGCACATCTGTCTCAGGGTGTTCGCTTTCTTCTTATAAGCTTGGCTATCTTTAGAGCAATGATTCTTTTTTTTCAGACCCTCATAGAGTTATTTGCCATGTAATATTGAACATCTAGTGACCATTATGAGAGAGTGTGAGGGTGATACGCATTTTACACACCTGCTTCCCATTCACACATTTTCGTAAAACTTAGGGCTGTATTCCCTTTTGGTGACAGAGGTTTAGACACTCTAGGAACGTTAACACCATTGTACAAGCTGTACACACATTAGGTTAAGAAAGTGCCATTACTTCAACATTGTCTTGAAAATCTCGAAGATAAAAATGACAAAAATCTAAGGGGTGCACTCACTATTGTGAGGCCTTTCTGAGTGCATGCGTGACTTTTTCTGCAAACGCTTGACTCTCTACAGGTTTACAGGAAGTAAAGCTGAATTAACTTGCTCTATTGCTCCTCTTTTAGATTCGTCTGTCTGCATGTTCTAACAACATTTGGGGCAGTTTCTGTTTGTAATGGTTTAAGGGTTTTCACTTGATAGTGCAATTTAGTTACAACTGTCCCATTTTTCTGTAAACCTTCCTTTTGAAAATAACCCCCACAGCAGCTCTTGTTTTACCCTCAAACCAATGAGGTAATTATTAGATACTGAAATGCAGCGCTGTTTTCCTTTCTGTGTGTGTGTGTGTGTGTGTGTAGTCAGTTACACCTTTTGTGCAAGACTAGTTTGTTCTAACCACAGCTGGTGCATTGAATGTTAATGTAATGAGGCATTGTTGCTATCTGATAATCTTTCCTATGTATTGCACATCTGTGAAGTGGATAGAGGTAGTTACCTGGGTGTGATGCAAGCGGAGTGAAGGAAAATAATAGAAAAACTCTCTTCCTCTTTGTGCTGGTGTTTACACATACGCCCCACTTTTGCAACATTTGTTTTATTCATTTTGGCTGAATAAGCTTTTTAAAATCTATCTAACCTAACTTTGAAAATGCATGTCTATTAAGAAATGTCAGTGCCTTTCAAGAAGATCTATACCTCTTTACTTTTATCTTTTACTTTACATCAATGTGTTTTCCATGGATTTTTCTCTAAAACAGCAATCTCCTCTGCAGATTTTCTGTTATGCTTTTCTATTTGCATGTGTGGATGATTGTTTGAGGGTTGTGTCCTAATCCTTGATCTCACATTGGTGAAATTTATCTCTGCATTTAACCCATCCCCTTGGTGGAGCAGTGGGCTGCCATTGTGTGGCTCCTGCGGAGCAGTGTGGGGGTTAAGGGTACCTCCACTCTGGGAACCCAGAGTGCAGGCTGTGGGGATCGATAAGTGCAAACTTCTCAGAGCACAAGCGAACTGCTCTAACCACGAGACCAACACTCCCCCCTCTGTATTAACAACCCCTTAGTTACCATTATGCTCTTTCATTTCTAACGAAAATCTGCAAGCTTTACAGAATAACTACATTTATAATTTAACTACATTTGGATGTAAGGAGGCTCAGCTTGCGAGTTTGAGGATTTTTGAAGTCTCCTGGTTACACTGAGTTTGTTTAGGCTTGATTAAGTAGTAGGAGCGAATACATTTATTGCATTGTTAAAAATTGCAAATATATTTTTTTTCATCTTCACAATTATATTTTTCTTCTATGCATTGGTTTATCATCTAAAATCATATTTGAAAAGATCTAGGTTTGCAATTTGAGCATGGCAAATATCTTAACAAATTTAAGTGGAATACTTTTGGCTCTGTAGTCTGAGTGTAACTGGCAAGTATTATATGTGTAAAAACAGTTCAATTTACAGCTTTTTGATCATAATTCATTTAAATTTCACAAGTTCACTTTTTATTTTCCTTTTACCTCTAATCATGTAAATTAAGTACCCATTTAACTGATTATAACCACTATAATATTGCAGTTTTGAAACTTTAGGTTTCTCAAGACAAGCACAGTAATGTTACGCAACACTTACAGTACACATTGACATACAGAAGATAAAATCCTTTCATTATAATATTTTAGCTTAGAAAATCTGATGATGACATGAATATTCTAGGATCATTTAAATGATTCTCAAGAGACTAGTTATTTTAGTTCAATAGTTAATTCTCTAAAAAATGACCCGTGCAAAATGACCAGTAATACTTCATATGAATAAAGTGTTTATTTTTTATGGCAGGGCTGACTAATACCTAGAAGCATTCTCTATTCTTCTTCTATTCTTTCTTTGCATTTTATCAATGTTTTAATTGTTTTGAAATATTTGCTCTAGTTTAAATTTAAAGCAGTCTTGCTAAAACTGATCATAATATCAGTTCATCTTGATGCAATTGTGATAAGCAATCATCTACTTTGAAATCAGCGCTTTAAGAAACAATCTTTGTTGTAACCTGATCCAGGATTTCACTGAGCCTTTATTTCACTTTATTTATTAATAGGAACATATTCTTTTATAATCTTTATTTTTTTTATTGAACTGCAGAGCCAGAGTGGGCATCCTACACCTTAGGGGTGTTTGTGTGTCACAGCTGCTCAGGCCTCCATAGAAACATCGCTCAGATCAGCAAGGTCAAGTCTCTGCTGCTGGATCCCTGGAGCTCTTCTGAGTTAGAGGTGAGAGGTTTTTATATTTTTTACTTTGAAAAGAGAGAACCAAAGAGAAAAATCCAAAATCGAGGAAAAAAATCTAGTGTTTTGTCTTAGACAATAACCTGCTTTGAAAAAGGACTTAACATTTTTCATTTTAATGTAATACACACGGTAGTTTGACATCATGGTGGTGCCAACGCATAAAAATGGTTTTAGTCGATTGTTTTCATAAAAGAAAGCTACATGTTTTCATATATTTCAATGATAGTTTGCTTTCATTGTGGTCTAGAAAAAAACAAGAACACATTTTAATATTTTCTCACCAACAAGAAAACTTTGCAGGTAAAGATAAATAAAACATTTGCTATTTTTTGGGGGGCCAAGATTATGTGCCCAAGGTTGCTTTAGAATAAAGTTTACTAGATACTCATTTACTATTAAATTAAAATGTAAAAGCCGTTGCTAATAAAAGACAAAAAAATGTTTGTGGTACCTTTTGTATTTAAGCAAATTTAAGTGTATTTAAAGATTTCTTCTCAGAAAGCTATTCAGCATCATCTCTCATTCTTACATCATTCTAAGAGCTGAAAACAGCCAACAGGACACGGTTTGGAGGCATCTGGTTTAAAAATGAGGTTAAAGTAGCAGCTGCTCCTAGTAGCTGCATTTCTCCCCAAACAACTGACAGTGCTGCTTTCTGCCGGCTACTGTGATAGTGCTGCTGGTCAACAGTATCGATTCAGCTCAGACTGAAAGGCATTAGACAGCAGCTGGCAGAAAAAGCCTGAATCTTTGTGTATTTCAGCATGGGCAGTTGTGTGCTTTTCAAGATCATGCAAATCGGAGACACATTTATGTTTCAGAAAATACCCCTAAACAAATGGCCTCTCTGTTTTCACAAAAAAAAAATGCCTTTCAAAGTAGGCAGCTCTTGCAGCAACAATGCTGCTCCTGTTTTCAATCTCTATGAACTCTTTTTACGTTTGATTTGTATTTTCATGTTCTCTCATATATTTTTTTTCTGCTGCCATTGCTAATCAGTGCCCTGTATAAATATGGTATAAAAAAAACCCCAAAGGTGTTTAAGTTAAAAACAACCTGATAGGACAAGACAGGAAGTCCGTAACATAAACCCCATTATATTTTCTGCATGCAACCTGCCAGTGCTATGGTTTCTGTAAGTGTGAAGAATATATTAATGCACTGTTTTACAAAAGTATTCACTCTCTTAGAACTTTTTTATCGTTTCAGTACCACTACATAAAATCCAGCGCAACCTGCAGCTTTTAGCATTCAGCCAATTAGGAGATAGATATATTTTTTAAACAAATACAGCCATTCTGTGAAGGCCTCAGAAGTTTGATTAAAATATTAGCAAACAAACTTAATTGTTAAGACAAATGATCACAGCAGACTAGTGAGTTATGGATCATTGCTGCAGCTTAAGCTTTTAAATATCCCATCAGGCAGTTCAAGCCAATGTTCAAAATGATTGCATGACATTTAATCCACCAGCAGTAGATGACTAAGGTTAAGCAAGCAGAGCCTTAATTGGAGAAGCAGCCAAGAGTTTTTTTTTATGTACGAGCTGCTGAAATCCTACGCTGAATTGGAATATCTAACGTTTAACCTCTAACTTTATGCTCTCTCTGCTTTTACTCATAGTAGTTATTTCTGTTTGGCTGTGACTTCATCCTGGAGAGAAATATCAGCTGTGCTGCTGCCATCAACACATTTGTTTATAGATGTTGGAGCTTGGCCCGTTTTTCAGTGTAGTCCTGTTTCTCTGATTGTGACCAGCTGGTTTGCTCTCTTCATACTCTGACATGGGAAGCTTGTCAGCCTGTTTCCTGGACAGGGCCACCTGTGGGGCTAGTTGACAGTTGCCTTTTGTATCTAAGTTCGATTTGAAAAACCTAACAGGAAGGCCTCTTATAGCTTGAAAGATAGACGCTTTTCACTCAACCTCCAACCTCAAAGTCCAATATGGCATCATTGCATTTAAGGCATAGTGAAAGCTGCAGTAATTAAACATATATTTACACTTTCAGGACTTTGTGTGTCACTAAACATTTCACTTTAAACTAATACTTGTAGTGTACAAAATGTTTTATGACGTTTTTTTGGTTACTATTTGAGTTCATTGAGTGCCTTTTGCAACAAACAATAAGCTACTTCTACCAGTTTCCCAAATTAAAAAAGCATCATTTAGGTTTGATGTTTTTCCTATATTAAGGTACCGTATTTTCACGACTATAAGGCGCATATAAACGTCTTTTTTTCCCCTCAAAATGTGCGGCGCGCCCTATAGTGCTGTGCTCCCTATGTGTGTTGTTACTGCGGACGTTGTTGAGACCACAATGAGAAAGTTGAAGGGGGAAGTGTGGGCGTGGATTGTGTATAAAAGAACAGGCATGTGCTTTATGCAGAACTCCTCATCTCCTCATTGAGGAGATGATGAAAGAGTGGCTGAGGGAGGTGTATGTAAGGAGACAAGGTTTTCTCCACGCATCACCATCGCTGTTAATCTGTGACTCCATGCATGTAAATGAACGCTATGCTTGCTGTTATTCCGGGAGGTCTGACAAAAGAACTTCAACCGCTCGACATCGGTGTGAACCGGCCGTTCAAAGTAATGCTACGTTCACACCGGACGCAGCAAGAGCAGCAAAATCGCGTCTGCTGCTTCATTTTTGCTGCTTGTACCAGTTAGTTCTGACGCGCGGCTGAAGCATCTTTGCTGCTCTGGCTGCGCGGTGCAAAAGTGTGTCTGACGCGCTTTGGGCGGAGCTACTCTATCCTTTCTTTGCCTTGCAGCTATATTTGCTGTGATCAGTGGGAATAAAGTAGTTTTAATATGTTTTTAAGTGAGAAAGTCCACCTCAAAACGTAATCATTGCAGTCAGTTCATCCAGATTAGGATCCTGCCTTCTAATATTAGTTCTGTCTGAGCCGCTCAGACCCCCACATACCAGCGTTGCACTGTCAGTAGGAATCCCATTCAACAGCAGCCTCTGGCCGGGTCACCTCCTCGCGGTTCACCACGACAGCTGGTAGGTGTTTTTCATCTAAATAATCTAAACTGCAGGCACCAGGATAATAAAAGCGAACATATTCTGCCGGCAGATTTCTGCATTTTAAGTTAATTTATGCGTCAATAAACTGTTTCAAAAGAGCTATCACAGCGCTCTGTGTCATCAGCGATGTGTCTGTCTCACAGCCAGCTCCCAGGTTTGATTAATACTTTGTAATAAATACATGAATAAAGCACAAACACACTCAGTTTTGCTCCCGCTCTATTTTTAAATATGCAGTTGAGGTATTTAAACATAGTAGAGTATATGTACCGGTATTTAAAACCTGTGCCCTATAATCCGGTGCGCCTTATGGGTGTGTTAAATACAGTAATGGCACACATAACTGAGACTGCGCCCTTTAGTACGGTGCGCCTTATGGTCATGAAAATGCTGTATGTTTTCCAGGAGAAAAGGATCCCAACAGAAATAGCCTTTTATGCTATATTTCTATTCAGTGTTGTCCTCTGTTGGAACAGGGCGTGGTTTAAAAATTTCCTTTTGGAGTTTCTTATGTTTTAACCATGGATCAGTGTGCCGACCTACTGTTCTGTTAGTTCTTTTGGTTTATTAGCTTTAGCTTACAGCGGGTTTCCAATGTGTCATTATTTTAAATAAATTTGAATTAAATATCCACTGAGATTCATTAAAAGCAGCTCAAGTTCCAGCAGTGAAAACTATACCAAAGTTTGAAAACAATGCTACATTGAGGCCATCACAGAATGAAATAAAATCTGATGGGAGAAGAGACTTTTGTTTTAATCTTACTTTGACGGTTCAGCATATATCAGCTAAACCAAACCCTATTGCTAATAAACTACACTTTCTAGGTCTGTAATGATAGTGTCCCTTTTAGGCATCACAATAGTCCCTGTCACATGGGCTAATTATGAGTCAGCATAGTGAGTGCTCCTCAGCCTGTTTTTAATTTTTTCTCTTCTTTCCAGTTTTTAGATTCTGTAGGGAACATTGCTGCCAAGGCCAAGTATGAACAGATTGTACCTGCCTTCTACTACCGACCCACGTCCAAAGATTATGTGTAAGTAGGCCATCTTTTCCAACCATCTTTCATTTTTGTCTCAGGTGTTTCTGTCAGGGTTGGTATTTGAGTCCAAACTTTTACACATAAGATATATTTGTAATATGAATACATGCCAACAATCCATTTAGGAAATGTGAGACGTGTGTGTTCTCTTTTTGGTCAGCAGTGTCTTTTAGCCTCAGAAGTCTACCATGAATGGTTTTTTAATAACGTCTTAAACATGGTCTTACCAGGGACAAGTGAGGCCTGTAGTGCTTCGGATGCTGTTCTGATTTATTTTTTGGTCACCTCTGAAGGTTCACCACTGTTTTAGGTTTTGTTTGTATATATGTACAGTAACCTCTTAACCTATGGTTATCTGCTATTCTTTTTTTTATCTTGTCCTTTATACAATTTAAAGAGTCCCTCTACTTAATGCAGCTGTTGGATCAGGTGATTATGATGTGATTGATGGAAAAACTGGCCATTTGAGTTCATTGTCACTCTTATTTTGATAACTGTGGTTATCAAAATAAGAGTATATAAGAGTATATATATATATATATATATAGTATATATAAAAGTCTTATGCAGACTCTCTCTCTCTCTTTATATATATATATATATATATATATATATATATATATATATATTAGTGCTGTCAAAATTATCGCGTTATTATCACGTTAACGCGAGGCCATTTTAATGGCGATAATTTTTTTAACGTGAGATTAACGCTATGTGGTTTTATGGTACAATTTTCCAAGTACATCCCGCTGCAGCCTGCGGGAAGGCGGGGCTATTTTCCCCCCAGTCTATGCATTTCTCATAGGCTTCGAGAGCGGAGCTCCTCAAGGAAAAAAGACGCTCATACACTGGGTAGCGCTGGTGCCTTTTCTTTAAGTCCCACCACCAACAAACAAGTTGAGTGTCTGGTAACTAGTAGCAACCTGAAATACGCTGAGAAAACAGATTACTGAGGTGAAATGGAATCTGCTACGGCACTCTTGCTGTCTGTGTACGCCACAGGTCAGTATCGTGTGTGTGTGTGTCTGTGTGTGGGTGGGTGGGTGTGTGTGTGTTCTCATTTTTGTTAAGAGGCTGAAAAGTAACTTTTTAGAGCATAGACTACCTCCATCTAGTGATGTCGGTCTATTGATTTTGATGTATTGATTGAAAATTGTTCATTATTATCTTGGTTAATTAACATCTAATGTTAACTACTGCATTTTATAGCAGTAGGGTAAAATGCTTGTCTTTGTTCAAAAGACTGTATTAACTGTAAAGACTGTCTTTTACATCAGCCTGTTTTCAGGGCCTTTTTTTTGGCTACATATTTGTTATTTTTTGCTACATGCCTCCCCATCTTCTTGCCATATGTTTCTATGGCATAAATCAGTGTCTGTGACCTGTTTTCATTTAAAAAAAAAGAACATTGGCACAAACCTAGCCTGTATGTATTTTTTGTATGTCATCGAGAGTATTTAAATGATTTTCAATCAGAAAAAAAATTTGCGATTAAAATGCGATTAATCGCGAGTTAACTCAGGCATTGATGCGATTAATCGCGATTAAAAAAATGTAATCGATTGACAGCACTGATATATATATATATATATATAACTGGTTACTTTAATTTATTAGTCTGGCATTTTTCTAAAGGTCTTTCTTTGATGAGTTTAACTGAACTTGGAAAAAAAGGTTAGTCTCAACTAAGATTGCTAGATTGGTTTGAACAGGTTTTGCTCAGGCTATGTTTGACTTTAAAATTAAAAGTAGAACATAAAAGACAGAACCAAAATAAATCTCTTGGGCGGCGGCTCTTGTAGTTTTTTCACCATACTGTTTCTGAATGTTTTCTTAATAATAAAGAGAGATAAGTATGAATTTGCTTTACATTTTTAATAGACGAACAGGAGGCTCTGCATTCTTCCATTTTTAGTTTGTGTACAAAGTAAGGCCCAACTGGTGATTTCATATTTAGAGTTCTGCTGAAAAAAGGATACCGTCTGTGGTTTAACATAGATTACATCTAGAGCAATCACGGTGATAAAAATAATAGGTTCAGTGATACAACATTATGTTTTTAAAGTTGTTAAATGATTATTAAAAAAAACATCAGTGAAGAAAAGGTCATAAGAAGATAATAACAAATCTAAAAACAAATGCATAGGCCTTTCATTTTTTTTTCTTTTAACACTAAATTGGGTTACAGACATTAACTAATACAGATAACCTGTCTTTCCTCTTGATCCTAATAGACAAAAAAGCGTTGAGTCTAATACTGTGAATCATTTAGAATAATCAGTTATGTTAACTTACAGGTTTGTGGATTTTAATAGTCATGACATATACTAAGTTTGCCTGTTTGTCTATTTATTTAATGTCAGTATTATATCAGCAGAATCATTAATGTTAACACTGCCTACTGTTGTTCTGCAGGCTCCTGTTGGACCAGTGGATACGGGCCAAGTACGAGAGAAAGGAGTTCATGAGTGTAAAGAGACAGGAGCCCTACTCAGCAGGTAAGACTATAGTAGATGTGCATATGTAAAGATGTGTCAAATTTTTATTTTAATCCCGTCTAACAGTTTTCAGTTTTTAGACAAAGCCCCCTATTGTGCTAGTTTACCATTACCTTTTCTGTTGAAATGTGTGATACTGTTGAAATCACACACCTGCTATATATAAGGAGATCTGGGTTGTTATGTGAACTCCTTTTTCAATTAATTTCATTTCAGTTTATTTTTATAGTGCCAATCCACAACAAATGTCATCTTAAGGCACCTTAAAGAGACAATACTTTCAGATTGGTTGAAAGTTTCTATCAATGAAATCCAGCTGATTGCATTGAATCATTGACTTTCAACACATGCTCCTCCTGATGAGCTTGAGGCGATGATTTTCGCCCGCATTTTTAAATGACTTTACAGCAATCCCTCACACCAAGCATACATGCAGTAACAGTGGAGAGGAAAACACCCTTTTAACATGAAGAAACCTCCAGCAGAACCAGGCTCAGTGTGAGCGGCCATCTGCTGAGGCTGACTGGGGTTCAAGGAAATAGAAGCAGAGATACAGAAAGAAGCAGAGATACAAAAAGCAACTGTCAATCAGCTCCAAAGGCGGTGCAAGAATGGGGGGAACAGAGTAAGAATAAAGAAGGATGATGAAAAGTGGTCCTTATGTCCTGCAGCAGTCTAAGCCTATGCAGCATAAATATAGAAAATAACTTAGGATAACCTTACTACTTTGGATGAGGTATGAGAAAGGTAGAGTAAAGGCAGTGTAGTATTGAGGCAGGTTCAATCAAGTTCCATCTAAGCTAATTTATTCAACAAATAAAATACATAAAGGGAAGAAAATAAACCATGTTAAAAATACAAAATGTACATTATAATCTTTGTTTCAATAACTTGAAATAACCAAAAGTGATTTGTCACCCAGTTTTGTATGCTGCCGCTTTAAGAGTTTCTAGTTTCCATTTAAGGACTCCCCTAAAAACAGTGTGAGAAACAGGAAGCTTGCAAAATTTAGTCAGTTTACCCTCCCGTTAAGAAGGTCTGGCCTATGAGCATTTATTCTCTCAACCTTACAGTAACAACACAAGCTTTGCAATTCAGCTGGTATTTGTGATTTACCAACGCACATGTAACATTTCCCAACTTAGAAATATATGTTTGGGTTTTAATGCATTTAACCTTCACACTATAGTCTGAAATATTTGTATAGGATTAACACCATGCAACACATATATAATATATGTATGTAGGAACCAAAAATTTGATTTCAGTTTCAGGTAGAGGACTAGGAGCTCTTATCAGAGTCTCATGACTGCTGAACACTTTTTCTCCCTCTGTCAGTGGCTTCTTGTTTTACACTGTATAGAGGTTTTGGAGCATGTGGCTGTGTGCCTCTGCCATTGAGGAAGAATGCCCTCTTTGTGTAAGCACTGTGGGTAACATTGTTCACAGAATTTAAACCTAGTACATTCAAAGAACCCACACGCACAAGGGGGTGGAAGATTATCATAGAATGATATGAATGTGAAAGTTGTGTAAAAGCACCATAGTTTGGCTGTAGGCAAACAAATGCTTAAAAAATGTATAAAATCATTATCAATAGTACGACTTATTTCTACTTCGGCTAAAGAGAAAGTAAGGCAGACGTTTATTATGCTCTGCTCGGATAACTGTCAGACCTCTATGATAAAAAGTAGTCATGATGTCACACCTAAGCTGGCTTCCTGTTCACTTTACGATGCATTGCAATGCTTTAGAAGTCATGATTTTACAGCCGCAGCATGTTTGTCTGAAAATTTGTAACATTGTACTCCATCCAGTGTTTTAGAGTTCACCAATCAATTGCTGTTACACAACGTTTTTTGAACAACCTGTCTTTGTACTTTAGACCTGCACAGATTGTTAATGATCTTAAGAATGGTTTAAAGAAAAACTTTCTCCTTGTTTATTATTGATTCTGGTTAAGTATTTAGTCAGATTTTATTGTGTTTCTTTTTCTAATCAATTCAAGTTATTGTTTAATAGTAGTCTTATCCTGTTTGTAAAATTAATGGAGATTCATACTCAATGTAGTACTTTAGTAACCTATGCTCTTAAATTTGCTGTTAAGTGAATAACTTTAAAAAAAATAAATTGGTTAAAATAATGAAAATATCTCTTATCAAAGCCATTTAGTAAGAAATCTGTTCACAAGAGTGCAGTTAGTTTTAATTTCACTGTAACATGCATTTCAAACTCAGATTTGAGCTAAAATAAGTTTGTTTTTACCTCAAATTTAAGCTATTATTTGAAAAATGTCTATTTAGGACATGTGTTACAATTTCTAAAAGAAACTTTAAACTAGGAATTAATAAAAAAAGAAACATTACAATGTATTAAGAAAAACCAAACATTTGAACTTTAGATAAAATTAATATTTATTGATGACTGCGCATCATTCAGAAGACTTTACTCAAATTTTAGTGCCCATATAGAAAACAACAAATCTGTGTTTAGTTTTTCTCTTATTTGCTAAATGATGCTGTGGTTTTTATCACTGTCATTTATTGGTATCAAGAAAATCTCATTAACCAAGTGGATTCAGCATACCTGTAAAGTAAAATAGACCAAAATTATGAAAATATTTTTTATAGAATAATATTTTTGACTGTTTGAAGTCAAAGTAAAAAGTAGTTCGTAATGTAGCTCTTATAGATTTGGCATGCTCCCCATACATATTAGATATATTTGTGGTTCTGGTCTTTCATTTTCTACACTAACATTTGTATTAAAAAGATAAAAAAGATCAAATTAACCTACTTATTAGACACAAGGTTTTAACCTCCTGTCTTTTTAAAATAATTCCTTTTTCTTTGACTTCTTTTTATACCTGACATATTTTTTTTTTGAGAAATATGATAATAAGGAAATGTTTTTTATGAAATGCTGAGTTCGCTTTTTCTGTAAATCAGCCAAGAGTGTAATGTAACCCTTTTTCAGTTTAGCACCAGTGCACAGCAACAAGTGGGGGAGGGACTGCATTGCATTACTGTGTGACCTATAAACACCTTTGAGTAGAAGAGGAATGCAAATATGGCAGAGGTTAAAAATCCCTTGTGGGATTACGTTGAGGTCGAAAGAAGAAATTTCTTGTTGCTGTTTTTCTTTTTGGTCAGTGGAGTACCGTTCCTGAAGCAATCTATTATAACTGCAATATGTCGTTTGGCTGGTCCAAAAGTCAGGTCAACTGAAAATAGAAAAACATTGGATGGATTTGAAATCTAACTTTTTTTTAAAAGCTCTGTATACATTTGAACTGGAACATTAACTTAGTGCTTTGATCATAAACTTACTATTTCCTTTCCAACTAGCTTTGAACATCTTGACCGCTTCTCCATTTCTTTGTTGATGTAATTATGAGCGGACTGACTCTTCCGCCTCTCTGAGGAAAAAATAGCAGTTTGACTGATGAATCATTGATAAAGTCATTGCTTAAAGAGGAATTATTGCTGCATGTGGATAAAAGATGGTTACTTTTTAACTCAACAATGAAATGAGAAAATAATGAAAAGACTCAGACCAGCTTGCAAATTGAACTTTAATGTCTTCCATATTTTCAAATGGGTTTACTAGGAAAAGCTGCAATTAGATTTTATTTAGAAATGTTATTTTGCTGGAAATGTTATTGCATTTCACCTTATTTCACTCAAAAACCATCAAAATGATCTGAACTTTATAAGGAAATGTTCATCTGGTATAGTCTATAGCTGGGGAAGTGGTTTGGTTCAGTTGTTTCTTATGTAGTTCACTTTCAGTTAATTCCTGTGGTATACAAAAACAGCTGTAAAACTGTAGGGTTGGGGTCATATGGTTTCATTACAGTCATTTATAACATCATATTAAAAGCTTGACAACTTTCTTTTAGAACTGATAAGCCTGTTTATAAAATTAAGGAACTTTAAATATGTAAAAGAATACATAAATGTAGTTTTTATATAAAAAAAAAAATCAAGAAGTAAATATGAAGTATGTGAACTTCTGCCGCCTGCATTTATCATCACTTTTCTTGGAGTATATAAAATACTTATACTCAGTTTCTGATTGTTTGAGTCAGTATGGGCTGTTCTGGTGTTTACTCAGATGACAATGCAGAGTGTTCTCTCTGATAGTGGCTAAATATGGACATTGTGGCCGGTATCAGGGAGAGGCCCAGGAACCAATTAAAGATCAGTGTGTGTGTGTGTGTGTGTCAGAGAGAGAGAGAGAGAATTACAAGGAAGAAGATGTTTATTATGTCCATATAAAAATGAATGATGGGCTCTCTGAGTGTTCCTGAAAATTAAAAGTGTGGCTCAAACCCCTCATTGTTAGTTAAAAAAAAGTTTCCTTTTGTGTGTGAGCATGTGTGAGTGTTTGCTTGAGAGAAATTTTGCCTGGTACTTGAAGACGTCAGTTAAAGCTGAATTATTTATATCTTTTAACAGCAGATGTTCTTCCTCCTGACGCTGATGATGTTTTAAAAGACTGACCGCATACACTTACAGGGTTCATCTATTACACACAGACACACACATGCAGGAAATCATTATTTTCGCAAGTTTTTATCTTAGCTTTTAGAGTTTTATTGTATACCTAAAAATGCTTCTTATGCATAAACGGTTAGATACAAGCACTTCACTTCTGACACTGTCCTCAGCTCACACCAACTTCGGTATCTGAATACAAAAACCAACAATACCCCTTTTTGAGTTTAATGAAAATTAGATGTGTTCTTCTATACCTCTTTCAATAAATCAACAGAACTTTTTTTTTCTTTTGCATGATGTTTTTTAGTGCTCTAATATTAATATACTGTTTCGCCCAAACTTAGCCAGGATGGACTTTCATGAGACTGTGATTATATCTAAGTTTTAAAGCTTTAAAAAACTGTATTTTTTCAGTGACAATAATTTCAATTACAATCAGGATGAGTTAAAATTGTTATTTATAATACATTTGTTTGTTTAGCACTTCTGTTTATGTTTTTTCGGCAACTATTTGTTCAATGGATCCACTTACCGTACTAGTATTACTTCTAGTGTTTAACATTATATAAATATTTAATGACTGATTGTAAATTATTACATAAAAACAAAAATTTTTGCTATTCCATGCATAGATACATAAAGAAGTGAGACAAAGGAAGTTAGTTTTGCCTCCAAAGATCTGCCGGATAACCAACCTATGGAGGCTCAACCTGATTCAAGAAAATCTAAATAATTTATAAAAAAAAAAAACTAACATTAAATTTTATGCATTTACATTTCAAATTTATATATATATATATATATATATATATATATATATATATATATATATATATATATATATATATATATATATATATATATATATATATATATATATATATATATATATATATATGTATTTTTACATTTCTGGTTGTTTTGATTTATCAATCATAAAAGAAGGTTTGTTCCTCTGCTGTTGCTAGGCTACAGAGAAGGGTGCTTATGGAAGCGAGGAAGAGACAATGGACAATACCTGAGCCGAAAATTTATTCTGACTGAACGTGAGGGTGTCCTGAAATACTTCAACAAGCATGATGTGAGTGTTTGCTTATGTATCGCTTTGCAAAATGCTATACATGAAATTCGCAAAAGCTAAATATGCAAATTAATAGCTTCATAATGATAAAGACAGAAGAGTTTATTATTGTTCTTACTTTTTGTTGCAGGCCAGAGAGCCTAAAGCGATCATGAAGATCAACACTGTGAACGCTACTTTCCAAGCAGCTAAAATCGGCGTTCCTAATGGGCTGCAGATTACCTATTTAAAGGATAACAGCACCAGGAATATTTTTGTTTACCATGAGGATGGCAAGGTTGGCATGTTTAATTAAAAATAACATTAACAAAATGTTATGAAAAGAACTGTGAGAGAAATTGGGCTTTTTGTTCCTCTGATAGAGGAGCTTGATGATGCAGCCCATATTTTAATACAAGAGTTAGCATTTACTTTTATTTTGTCTCAAAGGAAATGGTGGACTGGTTCAATGCAATAAGGGCTGCAAGGTATCACTACCTGCAAGTGGCATTTCCTGGTGCTACAAACTCTGAGGTAAGTATAGAAATTCTGGACCAACATTCAGGGTTTTTAATAACTGGGATTAAAAAAAAATTAATTTTTACATTTCCAGAGTAAGTATTTTGATACAAATGTTTCTCAAGTCTGTGCGTTTGAGTGAATATAGAATATTCAATCTAAACTTGATATACTTTATGTGGAAAGAAATGCTGTAGATTAAGCTTACTTTCTCCCGTAGAGTTCCCTTATTGTGTCTTAGACTTTAGCTAACATATATTTAAAATAAAATAAAAAGTTGCAAGTTTGTATAAAATAAATAGCATTTCTGATGAAAAAGAAAAAAGCTTTCAATGTTTGGAATTCAGAAAATAATTTTTTTTTTTACTTTTCTTGTTTAATGGTCAGCAGTTCTAAACTCTTTAAAACAGTTTAAAAAAATGACCCATTACACCAATTTTCTTTAACTTTGATGCTAGATCAATTTTGAGTTTGTTAAACCTGCTTCTTAAAATGGACCCAAATAAAAATTTAAAAAGAAATTATTGCTATCAGAGTCTGTATCAAATATTTCTCTAAATCATATTTACCACGGGACTAACAAAGAATCCAAGTGCTATTAAGTTTAACTTGTAACATGCAGAAAGATAGTTTGAATAATGATAGCTTTTGCAAAAGAAAAAGAATTAAATTGAAAATATACAGTCCAATATATAATAATGGAATGTGAGTACATTATGAAAAATGAGTTTATTAGATGATTTACACATTCAGACCAAATAGTTGGTGCCCCTCTTTGACTGAAAGAAAAGTAAACAATGCTCACAGAAATAACCTAAATCTGAAAGAAGTAGCAATCACTACAAATTCTATAAAAAATGAACAAATAAAAGTCTCACATTGCTTTTCAACCAAGCTTAAACAGAATTATAAGAAAAATAAAAAATAAACTCTTGAAACAGGCATTGACAAAAATGATTGTACCCTTAATATTTTGTTGCACAATCTTTTGAGGCAAACGCTGCCATTAAATGATTTGTCTAACTGTCAATGAGACTTCTGCTCCCTTCTGCAGATATTTTGGCCAACTTCTCATCAGCAAAGAGCTCAATTTGTCTCCAGTTTGAGGGTTCTCTTTTCCAGACAACATGTTTCCTTCCAAAGATGCTTAGTAGGATTTAAGTCAGGTCTCATAGAAAGCTACTTCAGAATAGTCCAATGTTTTCCTCTTAGCCATTCCTGGGTGTTTCTACCTGTTTTGGGTCATTGTTCTAATGCAAGACTCATAAGTACAGGATTGCTGACACCTGTGATGTTTGAAAAGCAATGTCTGACTTTGATTTGTTCATTTTCATAGAATCTTTATATTATAATTTTGTCAGATTTAAGTTTTTTCTGGGGCCATTGTGGGTTTTTCCTTTAAAACAAAGATGTTGTCCGTGTGTATCCTTACATTGCTGATTTATAACAGTTAAAAGGGATATGGGCATTTTTTTAAAGCAGTGTATACAGACAATTATTTTATGAATTTATTAAATTTTTTCATAGTTGCTACCAAAGCTAACCAGGAACTACATAAAGGAGGGTTACATGGAGAAGACTGGACCAAAGGTAATCTGCTGCTTCATATTTCTTCATTCCAATGGAAAATTATTACTGACAATTATGATTTAAACTTACATGTTTTAAAAGCAATATTAAGACCTTTCTTTTATGGTACTTACAGCACACCGAAGGCTTTAAGAAGAGATGGTTTACAATGGACGACAGGAGGCTCATGTACTTCAAAGATCCACTGGTACATACTAGAAATTATGTATCAATCCTGTATTTGACCTCAGTCACCAGTAGGTGCTGCTGTGCCTCTTGTTTGCACTATAAACAACTCAGTTTGTGTGATAAATGACCTGAGGAGACAAATGTATAACTCCTTTTATGGTGCCTAACATTTCAGGACAACCATATAGCTTCGGATCCTTAAAAAAATGTGTTCTGCATGGTCATGTCTGTGTTTTTCAATCATAGGATGCCTATGCTCGAGGTGAGGTTTTCATTGGCAGTAAGGAAAACAGCTACACTGTGCTGCCAGGCCTCCCTGCCACTGTTGTGGGAACTCACTGGCCATTTGGAATCACTATAGTGACTCCAGACAGGAAGTTTCTTTTTGCTTGTGAGACTGAAGAGGATCAGAGAAGCTGGATGGCGGCATTTCAGATTGTAATCAACAGACCGATGCTGCCTCAGGAGTTTGCTGGTAAGCAGATGAATCAGATCTCTATCATCTATCTATTATCTATCTATCTATCTATCTATCTATCTATCTATCTATCTATCTATCTATCTATCTATCTATCTGTCTGTCTGTCTGTCTGTCTGTCTGTCTGTCTGTCTGTCTGTCTGTCTGTCTGTCTGTCTGTCTGTCTGTCTGTCTGTCTGTCTGTCTGTCTGTCTGTCTGTCTATCTATCTATCTATCATCTCATAGAGTGAGTCTTATTGTGTTATTTCTGTTTTGCTCTTTGTTTTTCCTGCAGTGGAGGCCTATTTTAAACGCAAACCGTGAGTGAGCCTCTAAGTGTGTCTCAAAGAGGTTTATACAGAAACTGATGTTTGATACAAAGGTCAAAGTGCTTCGTCAACGACAACTCCTCCTCTTCATCAACCACCTTGCCACCTTCCTTGACCCCAATAACATAGCAAGACCTCATTCTCTGAAAAAGTCTGTCAATCCAAGGCTACTGGACTCTTCTAATATCACACGCCCATTTGCTGCCTGATTCCACCTTCACAATAGAAACAGGACAAAACCGTTGCTTCTTGGATGTGAGGCAACATCTGTTCTATTCTATAATCATCAACACTGCAATTACTGATCTTTACTACAAATTAATTATATTTGATCCATTTAACAGATTATAACACCAAAATAATAATGTAAGTCTAGCAAGTGTAGGTTCCGTCACATTTGCATGCTATTTTGCATTACTGTATACATAAGTGCAATTGTATTTATTTATTTTCTTAACTGTATTTGTAGCTAAATCCATGTTTTCATAGCAATTGCTTTTTTTAAATGGATGACAAGTTATTGCATGTTCTTCCAGTAGAGGGAGACAAATGAAAAATGTAAAATCTACTGTTAAACTTCTCTAACATCTCAAGGGGCTCATTGATTTCCCCTAACTGGTGCCTGCAGGGCTGCATATGAAATCACCCTATGATAATCTATGGTTGCTGTTAAAATGTGTTGAAGCCAATTTAATATCTGCACTGTTTTCTACAGCAATGGTTCTAGTCTAAGACTGATTATGGACAAAGACAACATCAACATGAAGGAGAGTGAGGTTTTCAGTTTAAAGGTTTCTGTGATCAAAACTGAGTCTATAAATGCAAATATTTAATCAAAAATAATCCTTTGTGCTTTTCCCAAATAATTAATTTTATTTTGTTGACAGATAGAAACATACATGTCCAAACAATCCTAAGAAAACATGGCACTATCCATCTTACATATGAATTTATATAATAGCATGGGAAAAAAAGCAACAGTCATTGAAGCAGTCTACAACTTTTAACAGACGTCAAATTTAACAAATAATATCGATATTTGTCTCTTACCCTGAATTTTTGGTAACCAGTACTGATCATATTCCTTAAGAACAACAATGACATGTATATGCCTGAAAACCTTTTAAATACAAACTGAACCAGTGTGATTCCTGCTCACCAATGCAATTTTTGTTGCTGTAGTCGTTTATTTTTTCTGTATAGGATCTGTTATTTTCTGCACTCTTGAGAAACTGTCTGTAAACACTGCTACTGGGGTTAAAACAAAATTCACATTAACATGTTATCTAAAGTGTATTATATTGTTTTTCTGTAATAAAAGCCTGACTTAACACATAAAGCAAAAGTGCTAGGTAAACCCACAGCTCTTACTGTCTGATGAGTTTTTTTATATGAAACACTTTTGTGACTTGTTTTGATATGATTTGTTAATGATTTATTTTGTAACACATTTCAGTTTTAAGCGCCAAAACTCACTGAATTATTTAAAAAGAAGTGTTTCAGCTGCTCTCAGCTCCAGAAGTCTCCCTTCCTTCCACCGAGTGCTTTTGGCTTTTGGGAGGATATGGGAGAGAACTGCTGACAAAATCATACACAAACAGTCGCCCAACAGGTAAACAGACATACATTTCTTTAAAAGTATAGTGAATGTTCTTTTTTCAGCCGTTTTAGGTGGATAATCGTATCTATTGGTTGTCTTTGTGACATGCACATTTTCTTTTTCGGTCAATGAGCACTTTTATTGATCATGTATGCAGTGAGCGTCGTTTTCACCCATAGCTCCACCCCTCTCACTCTATATTTTAAAAATGGCAGATGATTACAAGAAGCAAACTGTTATACAATTTTATGAGAAGTGGAAGGCATCAGAAGAAAGAAATAAGGCCAGAGTGTTTTTGGGAGAGTCTTTTACCCAATGGCAGAATAGTAGGTTGGATGGTCTAGCACATGCACGGCTATGCAAAAATTGCCTTGGGCGTCTTTAACCTACATTTCTGAAAAAATTGTTCAATATTCCTTTAATGGCTTTTATCAACAAAAAAACAATTTCTAATACAATATGAAAGGTATTACCATATTAATTAGTTTTAGGTACTTTAATGCAAAGAAATTAGTATTTACAACATATTTGGCACATTTAATAGCAATACATATAGACCCTGATCTACTAAAGGTTTGCATTTATAAAAGAAGTGGAAGCTCAGTAACATGAGCTAAGCTGATCTACATACGCCTTTGATATCCACGAAATGGTAGGCACAGTCTATGAAACATGTTTACCTTCATGAAATTCCAGAAAATATGCTAATTATTGAAAAGTGTGGTACAGTACTGCAGGACATCTTTATTGAGCACATTTGAAAGCAAGGAGCAACCGTAAAAAATGCCTGCAATGATTGTGGGGAGAAGAAGGCATTGGTGTAATCACAGCCAGAAGAGAGAATATTTCATTTCTACATATTTGGACACTCAAACATTTTGAGATGCTATTTTGGGGAGAAAAGCACCTTGCACCATTGCATTTTTGTGTGTCTGAATGCATCACTCTGCTGTCCAACACCGGTGGTGAGTGATTCATTTTAGAGGTGAGGGGCCGCTGGGAGGACGCATTGCCTTGCACCTGTCAGTACGATCATCAGGTCAAGCGGAAATGTAGCTTGGATAAAGTCTCCTTTGATAACTGGAATGATTCAGTTAATGAACTGCAGTGATAAATATGAAAATGATAATTTTTAGGAGTTAAGCTCTCTTTATCGGTTATGAAATGTTTAAATATATCATATGATGAAATAAATAGCTTTTGTTTGTATGTCACTGTCTAAGGACGTCTGTTATATCTATGTTGTAGAAACAGGACAATCTAGAGTTGCTTGTTTTTCCTCTTTTTTGTGACTTAAGTTATGCAGTGGGAGTGAATAGCATTTAAAAACAAAATAGACCTTAAAAGTTTGTCTTTTGTATTTGAATGCTGTTGAACCACCTGTAGTTTCCTTCTCCTTTAAAACAATAGAATTAGAATCTCTGATATTTAAACTTATGATTTTTTATGTGAAATTGTGACAGTTGTGGTCCAAAAGCTACCCTGTGTTTGTGCCTCCATTTCATCTAATTATTATTATTTTTTTTATTTTAACTAGCAGAGGATGTCCTCTCCTTTCTCTGACTCTGTCTTCTCAACATCAATCCCCTGAAACATGCCCACTAATGCATTGTGAAACTTTAGTTTGCACAAGCAATTGCTGATTTTTATTTGGGATAGTAGATCAGGGCTATAGTGCATTTAAAGAAATGATTTTACATCCATACTTTTTCTATTTCTGCTCAACTTTATGATCACTAAGATGCTGGTGCCTATCACAGTTGTTCAGCAGGTTGGAGGTTGGCTGATCTCTAGAGAAGTCTCCCCTTCCATCAGAGCCAACATTTATGAAAAGTGAGACATATATACACTCACACACTTATTTACACTTTTAGAGGATTCAAATCTACAAATAACTTAGCATGCAGGATTTTGGACTCTGGGAGGAGCCCATGCATTCATAAGGAGAGCATGAAAATAGAACAAATAAAAGACCCCAGCTAAAATTGAACAGGTCTAACTTCCAACCACAGTGCTACCCCAGTTAGGATTAAGATTAAGAAAAAATGTACAGCATTTGATGACAAATATAAGTTACAGATATCTGTACACTTAAGATTCTTTTTAACACTTTTCATAAGTTTTGTACCAAAAAATAGCAACAACAGTTTGCTCCAGTGGTGTGATGAGAGGATGTATTTTCCCAACTATGTACCCATATATCTTCAAAATATTATGAATTAGTGCTGGCAAGTCAACAAACTCCTTGGAACCAGCTGATTCACTTCTACCTCACTGAAACATGGACAGAAAAAGCATCACAACATCTAGTTTCAAGGGTTAATATGCAACATTTTAACAAAAAGGAAAGCCAAAATGGATATAATGGGTAGATGTTAGACATAACTGCCTTACGAAATTATCTTCTCAAAATAAAGAAGAATCTTATGATAAAATTAAAATAATTAAATAATAACCCACACAAAGTAACATATTATGTTAATGGTCATAAGACTGTGACACTGCATTGAGAGGCAAAAATGATTATAAGCAGAATTACATCTAATTGAGCTGTTCTCTTGTTATTTTTCAATCCTAACCTTGGTCTCCGTTTACAGTTAAAGAAAAAGGCAGGTGAAGAAAAGCATCATGGTAGATTAAAACCAGCAGAACAAAAGGCCAGGAAGAGATGCTTGTGGTTCTTGATAAGTCCAGAGATGATATCCAAGATTAAAATTATATTTAATCAGGACATGAACCCAAACTCTCAACCACTTAGGTCCCACAGCAGCCAGCACCTTTCATCTCCTTGCTCACATACTCATGCAGCTTAAACTTTTCACTCGGATCCTTCATTGACCTGTATTTCAGCTCCCTGTGGTAAAACAAAAAAAATAAAAAGGTACACAGTTAGTTCATGCTTCAGTGCACAGCAGTAGCTCTAATACTTGGCATTTCTTATTCTAAATAAGGAAAACCTGACAGCTGCATACCCTATGTGATATGTCTTTTCTCCACTAGTGTTCCAAATTTAAAGAAGACAAAATTTACCCAATCCTTTCTAAAATAGCCTTTGTTCAATTGGATTGGACTGAGAGTCTCTTGGATTCTTAATCTTTGCCATAGATTGCAAATTGAATTTAGGTCTGGACTTTGTGAAACAGTAACATCTATGGTTTCAAACCATACAACTATAGCTCTTGCTGTATGATTAGGCTGATATCTTGCTTGAACTAAGATAGATGTAGTCTCATGTTACAGGTTCTCTACTAGAAGTGCCATATATTTAGCTGTGTCTATGTTCACAGCACTGCTAAAGAGAGCAATCCTACAGCATAGTGCCACTGCAATGCATTTCCAGGACTGAGGGACTTGGGCAAAACTCTGTATTGGGTATTTGATTTATAACCTAGTAAATTACACTAACTGAAGTATTTGGAGTGTAATAAAACAATGAAACATGCATTCAAGAAATATTCAAACATTTTGTTTACAATATAATGAAGCATCATGTCTAGATCCATAATCCTTTTCTAGGAAAAAAAAACACCTGATATGTTGATTTTTTTTTACTGTAATATAAAGCATCAGCGTCTTGTAGCAGAGCTGTCTTAGTCTTGTGAAATGTATGTGAAATAACTTTCATCTGAAACAAGTCAAAGAACTTGTCTCCAATAGCAACAGATAGACCTATACTTACTTGGCCACAGCAGTGAAAGCCAGCTCTACATTCAGGCCTGACCTGGAACTGGTTTCCATAAAAGGAACCCCAAACTCCTGTAGAATGAAAGCATTTAATGTTTATCACTGACCTTAAATTTGGTCTTCATTTTTCTGCGTTTGTGTAAATTTGCATTTTGTAATAAACATAATCAAACAAATTTTCACAAGTCTTTACCTTGGCAAGCTTCTCACCATCTTCTCTTTTTACCACACGGTTATGAGTTGCATCAGCCTAAAAAAGCATTTTTACATTTACAAACTTCATTCAAAAGCATAAAACACAACATCTGATTTACCCCAAAGGTTCTATACACAATTTCCATACAAAATAATGATCAACAAAGACTGCAGTGATTGTAAAAGCTAAAATAATTTGTCCAAATTGTAAAGGAATATTTGGCAGTATTGAAAAGTTGTTTTCACTGATTTCTAAAGTGCCTTTAAAATGTCCTTGTATCATCAGAGCCAATATTTATATAATCTAAGTCCAGGACCTTTACCATTTTTATTGAATGCCTATTTTTTTTTTGTTAAACTAACCTACATGACACTGAAAAAATACAGAAGAATGTCTGTCTGGGTCTACATGAAATACAACTTAAAGAAGAGTTTTTTCCCCCCATTTCTAACTACAGAAAGCAAAAATACTATAGAATAACGTGTTATGATCAAAACTAATCTTTCACCGCCAACATGTGCTTTAAGTAGCAATAACTCAGATTTGGCACTTGATGGATCCGCGGCTAAACAGAGATTTTTGTACATTTTGTTAATTTACTCTGCAGCTCATGAGCTGAAGAAAGCTTTGCAGGTTAAGGAATTTCTTTGTGCAAAATTTTAATCACTCGATGAGCTTGTTAAAGCAGACTTTTCTTCTAAAGGCTCCTATGGATCATCCTTGGTGAAAACTATAATTTTACATCAATTTTTATAAAAAGCAAATAAGGATATTTCAAAAATAATCGGTGTGGTTAGGTAAGAGAATGCTGTTAAGACCTTCAGAAACTTGGATTACCAATAATTTTAAGAGCGCACAATTTGTGGCTGCAATGAAACACAAAATAAATATAATTTTAATTAAAGCAACTCCAACAGATTTAATTACATTAAAATCTGCAAAAACATAAAATATGAGCTTAAAAAACTATTGTGAATACATTTAGCACACCAAGGAAATAACCTGGGGCTGCCTTTTGCTTTGCAGCAATAAGGTTCTGGGTTCGATTCCTGGCCTGAGGTCTTTCTGCATGGAGTTTGCATGTTCTACCTGTGCATGCTTGGATTCTGTCCGGCTTCCTCCCACAGTTAAAAAACATGACTGTTAGGTTACTTGGCTTCTCAAACTGTCCTTAGGTGTGAGTGTACATAATTGCATGTCTTTGTGTGTCTCTGTGTTGCCCTGCGGCAGACTGATGACCTGTCCAGGGTGTACCCCGCCCATCCCCACACTGACTGCTGCAGATAGGCTACGGCATCACCGCAACCCTGACGGAATAAGCGGGAGAACATGGATGGATGGAAATAACTTGTATCAACAAGTTGTATCATATCTTTGATCACTACCTTGTTTCCAAGCAGCATGAGCACCGCATCCTGTTGGGCGTATTCATGGATCTCAGTCAGCCATGCCTGGTGAATAGAACAGCAGGAAAAAACAAAATAAAAACAAAAAACTGATTACAAAAAAATTAACTATGTGAATCTAAGAAATTTCCACCTTAAACAAAAATGTGAAAGAAACATTTTAAATTTGGTCTAAAAGCTGACATTAAGCATGCCTATTAAATCTGATAAGATTAGAAAGAATGGCTGCTGCTTCTTTGTTACAATAATGAATAATGAAGTAAAAAGGGTAATCCACAGCAGGAAAAAAATTATCAAATGGTACAAAAAAGCAATATAAAGTGTTTGAAGAGGAAATTAATCAGTGTTACTGTGAGAAACCAGGCTAATCAACACTGTCTGCTATATCCTGTCTAATGCATGAGGGAAAGAAACAACCTGATAGAAGAACAAACATCACCTGTGACTGTGTGCTCTGAGAGCAGCTGAAGCATTTTATTTTACCTGAGTTCCTAAACATCTTTTATATTTAATATTCTTAAATTCTTTGGGTTCCTTTTGAGTTATTATTCTGTTTCTGTGTTATTTGTACTTCAGGGGATAATGATCCTTAAGTAACCTCTGTTCAAATTTAGATTATTTCTTTCAAAATCTTTTGCTCTTGCTAAATCTAGACTTAGCTATTAGCAGGTAAATAAATGTTATACAGGAAGCACTAATGTAATGACAAAGATCATGACACGAGTCCCAAGGACAAATGAATACAAAAATTAAAATGGAATTTAGATGCAAAAAACAAATCAAATACAGATTATATAAAGCAGGGCCGGTTACTTTTAAAACATTTAGTATGTGACGTTGTATAAATAAAAGATAACACTTTTAATGTTGAATCTGGCATTTACCACATCAGGCAAAAAATGCATTTTTTTTTGTTGAGACATGTAATTACAAAAAGTTGACTTTTCTCTCATGTCGTGTTATGGTGGTGATTCTGTAATTGTAAAACACTTGAATTGGGTCACTGTATTGCTGGTTCTCTGGTAGAGTAGAATAGTTGGTGCAGTATTGTACTAGAAACTACCATAGAAGTAGTTTAGTTATAAGTCTAACTCAAATTTTAAAACAAAATTTTAAGGTTTGTTATTTAATCTCTTTAATAAAGTTTTCAATCTTTAGTTTTAGAGTTTAGCTCTAAAATGTCACAGACATTCGGGGAGCTGTGGCACACTTTGTAAAGATCAGTTTTCCCTGTTTCATGCTTTAGAATAAGATATAATAATACACATGAAAAATTAAAGTCACAAAACCTTTTTTATTTTACAGAACTGTCAATTAAATCCACACAGACGCTGCAGCTGAACTTGCATCATGACATTAACCCAGTGGAGATTCAAACTGGGTCACAGGTGTGAGGGCAGGCTGCCATTTCTCTTTGGATTAGCTCTGAGATGGACTGCAGAACTTAGATCTGTTTCTGCTAAAAAAAAACAAAAAAAAAACAGAAAAAACTAATCTAAGCATAACAACATAAAAGATAAAAGCCAGTGTTAATAGTATGCGGCAGAAGGAGGTAGATGCAGGATTGCTATATGCTTGGGAATAAATTAATCAGGTTAGAATTAAAATGTATTACAGCCTCCGTTGTAGTTAGAACACCGTGAGACTATTTTGTGGCACACAATAAATCTGTACAAACAAGGCAGCTGGCTCTTGATTTAGTGTAAAAGTGAACTACTGGCAATTTTTTTCCATTTCAATCTAAGAAGATAAAAATATATGCATCAGGCTTCTTCCAGAGCACATAGATACAACAGTTGTAGATGTTAAACCACTAAAAGTATTTTTTCAGTATCAATTTGAATTTAAATAAGCAAATTCGTTTAACATGTTTACATTTTAATAAACAGCTGCACAATATCTGTTTTAAAAAAAAGTGCAAAAGAAGGTCATGCTTCAAACTCTATGTCTTTATGTCGAGACCAAAAAAGGTGATTCGGTGGGGGAATTGCTTTATTTTCCCAAAAATATTTCACACATACAACACTTGTATTTTACAACACTTGTATTTATTTAGGTAGGTACAAATGCCCCTGTTCCATGAAGAAAATTCCAATTTATTTTGAAGTGATTTACCTATAATTGGTCCACTCTGAAGCTGTGTCAAGAGTTAAGGGAGTTTTAGTCGGTAACCTTTAAAACAAATGGACTCTGAGCAGTTTATTAGTATCTTTCCTAACAGTTATCCATAGGTGATCCTTTTGCAAAAATCCTATAATAGGCTGTTTATGTGTAAAGCCTTAGTCCTTATTGTAACCTCTAATTTGCTGTGCTCCTTTTAAATCAATAATGAATCGTTTTTGATTTAATGCGCCTTTGTCAGACCTAATGGAGATTGCATAGTTAACATGCTGTAAGCTGCTGCTTTGTGGGCTGACCTGGGGATGGGTCCAAAGACCATAAAAAAGGCCCAAACTCTCTCCTCTGATGCTCAATGTTTCAGGGTTTTAGAAATATTTTCCTAAGTCCATCTGGGACGATATTACCTGTCACAAACCCAATAGTTTCATGTTTCCCTGACAAGAGCACTCGACCTGCATGAGAAAAGGTTTGGCAGTGCGCTTCAGTGATTATCTTCATATGCTGGGAAGCTCTTCATAAATAATAGCTGGTAATTATATAATTTGGCTGTTTATAGAATGTCCTCCTCATTTCACAGATATAATCTATGTTTCCAGATGATGACGCTTATCACTTCCATTCAGAGAATAAGAGCTTCCTGCTGCCATTTTTCCAGGGAAAACAGACACAATCAAAAAAAAAAAAAAACAGGTGTTTTGTATCGGCCTGTTGAAAAATGCACATACCAAATGGCTCACAAGAAGTGACTGTGGATAAGATGACTGCGCATCCCCGCAGCATTTTAGCACGTTTTAAAGACCAAATCCTTTTAGCACGCTGTTGATAGATCAGTTTGTACATTTTTTAGCGTGCGCAGTGAAATAGCTCACGTTTTTATACACGCAAACCTTTGATAGATCCGGCCCTTAGTCTCAAAATTTCTGGAAAATCCTTAAAAGACTTTGCATCTATAGCTGTAGTGAAAGGTGGTTCTACCAACTCTTAACTAAGTGTGTCATACTCTGTGGTCTAGGTTTAGGTCTGTGTTTTCTTTCTCCCTCTCCTCTGCAGGGCTGGAAGGGCAGGTGCATTCCATCAGAAGCTAATTACCAGTCTTCATAAGGAGCTGAAACCAGGAGGAGGGCGTCAGTTCGTTCACGCTTCTGCCTGGTACAGACCAACTCTTTGTAAGCCTCATTTTCTGTGAGACCTAAACCTAACCTCGTTCCTGTGATTTTCTTCCAGAAAGCCACCCAGTTTAGGGCCTGGAAACCCAAGCCTGGAATCAGAGTCTGAGAGACACCTGGAACGTTCTCCTTCCAGAGAAGAACCCCGGATCCATCTGTCAGCCCTCCTGCCTGCGCTCGCCTGCCTGTCCACCCTCAAACAAACCAATACTGAGAGAGAATCTGGACCTGCACCAACAATCCGGATCACTGAACAGCACTTCTTCCCCCAGACCAAGCCCTAGCCGCCACCTCCGTGAGTTCACCATCCAAACCAAATTCTCACAAGTCCCAAAGCACAGTTTATTCACCATCCTCCCTATCTTTTCCAGCAGAGCTCACCAGACCAACGACCAGCCGAAATCCAATCTTGTCAATTTCAATTTTTTCAATAAACTTTTTCTCATAATCCAACTGTCTCAGTTTTTGCGCCTATTCAGAGTCACACGTTCTAAATATGACAAAGTGCACCGAATACAAACTTACTTTAGAGATTTCATTGTCAAAAAGAAAAGAGAACATGTAAGATTCCCCTCTCAGTTTCTCTATTGTTTGAGTTGATCTAACAAATAGAAAAATGTAAAGGTTTTTGGTAGTAACATTACAAAATGTGACAGTTTTCAATAAAAATGAATGGCAGACCAAAGCACCCTCCATTATAAGATTTTGTTACCCAGATGCATTTACAGCAGGTGAAATAACTATTAAACATGCCCCCATTTTCTCAGTAAATATATTTCTAGAGGTGCTATTGACCATTGACTATTTTCACCAGATGTCATCCATGCAATCCACACTTACCTAGAAGTCAAACTTTAGATGTCCAGAAATTAAGTTATGTCTAATGTGGAATGCCACAGGGAAAAAGTATTGAACACATTTACAGAAATGTATTTAATACTTTGTACAAAAGCCTTTGTTGGCAATGACAGCTTCAAGATACCTTCCGTGTGGAGAAATTACTCGTATGCATTGTTCAGGTGGGATTTTGGCCCATTCTTCCACATAAACTACATTCAAATCTTGAAGTTTTCGTGGGCCTCTTCTATGAATTCTGATCTTTAGTTCTTTTCATAAATGTTCTATTAGATTCAAGTCATGTGATCCATCTGACCAGACTATATTCTCTCAGTGTTTCACAGGCTTTTCTAAATGTGCATCAAACTTTAAACAAGCTTCAACACGCTTTTTCTTCAGCAATGGAGTCTTGCATGGCGAGTGTGCATACAGGTCATGGTGGTTCAATGCATTACTTATTGTTTTCTTTTAAACAATTGTACCCGTTAATTTCAGGTCTTTCGGAAGCTCTCCACAAGTGGTCTTTGGCTCTTGCAAGGAGCACCTGGTCGGGGTTGGTTTATGGTTAAATTATGTTCTTTCCACTTCCGGATTGTGGACCTAACAGGGCTCACTGAGGCTCAGAAGTTTAGAAATTCTTCTGTAACCAATGCCATCATTAAGATTTGCAACAATATGATTGCAAAGGTCTTGAGAAAGCTCTTTACTTTTACCCTTCATGAGATGTTTTTAATGTGATAGTGGTGACATCTTTTTATTGGCCATCATTTGGGACTGAACCAGCTGAAAGTAATTTACGCTGACAAGGGGCAGGATTGCTTCTAATTATTGAGAGAATTTGGCTGGTGTCTTGGCTTTCCATGTCTTTTTACACCTCCCTTATACTCATGTGTGATATAATTCCAAGTGCCACTCCACATT